TCTCTTATATGAGAAATCCAAAGTTTAAATTAACTAAGATGCAAAAAAAGAGATAGATTAGAAAAAGATAGATAATAGGAAACAGGGAGGTAGATGTTTTACAAAAAGGAAGGAGACCAAGAGATTGAGAGGGGTGAGTGGGAGGGAAAGGGGTAGTGAAAAAAACAATTAAGTTATATTATGTGTGGGTACTAATTCCCCACAATGAATGTAATCACTATGTACTTGATACATGTGCTAATGAAAGAATGTTTTTAAAAAACACATTGGCAGGCCGGGGATTTAGCTTAGTGGTTTCACTGCCTGCTGGGCAAGCACAAGGACCCACGTTCGATCTCTGGTACCAAAAAAACAAAAAACAAACAAAAAAACACATTGGAATTGAATCCTGTACTATTTTGTCTTCTCTACCTGAGAGGTGGGGCTTGCCCAAATCATACAGATTTGTACCTCAGGACCGGGGATTTAGCTCAGTTGTTCCATCACCTGCCTTGCAAGTGCGAGGTCCTGAGTTTGATCCTCGGTACCAAAAAAAAAAAAAAAAAAAAAAATTGTACCTCAATCAAAACTGTTGAAGGTTTGTGACTAGAGTTTCTTCAAATAGGAACAAAAATATTCTTTCCACCTTTGCTTCTGATGCTGTTCATCATCTATTGCCAATATCCTTGTGTATTAATCTTTTTTGTGTTCTTATAATAAAATACCTAAGACAGGGTGTTTATGAACAGAGGGTTACTTAATTTGCAGTTTTGGCTTGAAACTGATGATGGCTTTCTTGTTGGCAGTCTTGAGGCAGCACACAGCATCACATGACGAGAGAGAGAGAACTTGTATGTATTTGTACATTCTCTCTCTCTTTCTCCCTCTCTTTCTCTCTCTGTTTTCTTATAAAACCAGTGGTAATGCCATCCTAATGGTATTTGCTAGTCCTAATCACTTCCCAAATCTCCATTGCTAAATACCACAGCTGGATTAATTTTCTTCCCTCTTACTATTATTTACATATGACTTTGGGGATTGTTTACAATATAGGAATTCTGGAGGATACACCCAAAATATAGTACCTGGGTTAGCCCCCTGAAAATAGCATACTAAAGGTTTGAACTTTGGAGCTTACGAGTACCAAGGATTTGTGAGCAGCCCAACTCTTGGCCAGTAACTACCTCTCCTCCAAGGCTTTAATGGACTCCATCTTTCTTGGCCCAGGAAAATATATGAGCTGGCAACATTTATGTATTTGTTTCCTAGGGCTGCTGACACAAATTACTGAAAAACTTGACAGCTTAAAACAACAGAAGTTTTTGGCCTCAGTTGTAGAGTCTAGAAGTCCCATCAAGACATTAGCAGGTCTGTGCTCTCTTTGTTGGCTCCAGGGGTCAAGATTCCTTTCTTGCCTCTTCCTAGCTTCTAGAGGTTCTTAGTAATCCTTGTCATTCTTTGGCTTATAGATGCAGCATTCCAATCTCTGACTCTTATCATGTAACTATATTCTCCCTGTGTGTCCCTTTCCTCCTCTTAGAAGGCTACCATGTATTAAAGATACAGTGTATTAAATACAGTGTATTAAATGCAATGTATTAAAGATCTAGTATATCATAAGTAATTACATCTAAAAGACCTTATTTCCAAAAAAGGTAACATTTTGAGATACTGGGGGTTATGACTTCAATGTATCATTTTGGGGACACAATTCAATATATTTTTATCATTTCCAAGGATATCTGTACATCTGTGATCATTGTAATCCTGGAAGAAAAAAAATCTCACTTTAGAACATTTTATCCAAGGAAAGCAGTAGGTGAGCAGAAAATAAAGAATTATTAACCAGAAGTCAACGGACAGGACTGTGGTGCCACGTATGATGTGACTTTTCTTTTTTGTGACATAATTTTTTCATGTGAACTTCCAAGCCACTTTATTTCTATGCATTTCAATTTTCCCATCCATAAAGGATCCAGATTTAACAATTGCCAAGGCAGATCTCATTGAGCTCCCAAATTCTAAGATCCTTCAACATAGGCAACTAGTGCGAATAATCTTTTGCAAGTGAGACCATGGCTTGCTTAAACTATTTCCTCAGAAATAGTCATTTCCAATTACTCTTCTATTGTCATGAAATATTTAGATTTGAAAACATCAGGAGAATTCACTAGCCTTAATTCCAGGTGTCAAATGTAAAGACTGCATTTATATCTCCATAATTGGAGCCAGATGTTTCTCCTAATGCTATTAAATCTTCTCATCTGTCCTTGATTCAAGAAATACTGTGAGGCTTCCTTTTAGACTTAGAAGGATGTCACAGAGGTTGGAGGGAGAAAAATGGGGGATGAAAGGATTTAAGGTCATGGTGTATAATTGCCCTCATCATCCTCCCTGCGAACATGGCTTTCATGTATCCCTCACCTCACTGATCTATAGCGTAATTCCTGTACAGCAAGTCTGGCTTATTCATCTCTGAATGAATATACACACATGGAGTAGTCTCCCAAACAGGATCCATTCTAGAACCAGTATTGGAGGGCGGAAGAGGGGGTAGAGAGAGATCAGTCATAAGACAAATTTCACTACCACTGTATTGCAACTACAGCATCCTTCTCTAACCCCTAAACTTAGATCTAGGAACTGACTCTCTTTTTTAAAAAATTGTGGTAAAATAATAATACAAAACAGAAAAAATTACCATTTTGACCATTTTAAATGTATAGTTTCATGGCTTTAAGTGACAACATTCACGCTTTTGTGCAACCATCAATGCTACCCATTTTGAGAACTTTCTTATATTCCCAAATTAAAATTCTGTACCCATAACAGTAACTCCTCCTTCTCTAGTCCCTCCACCCCTGCTCTCTCCCCATTCTGTTTTCAGTCTGTATAAATCTGACTATTTTATATATCTCTATAAATGGAATTATACAATATATGGTGCCATGGTTTAGATAACTGTCCCCCAGAGGCCCATGAGTTAATGGCTTGGCACTATTGGGAAGTAGGGGAACGTTTAGGAGGTGGGGCCTAGTAGAAGAAAGTTAGGGCATTGAGAGGATGCCCTTGAAGGGGATACTAGGAAACATCCTCTCCTCTCTCACTGGTTCCTGGCTGCCATGAGGTAAACAGGCCTCCTCTACTATATATTCTTACAATGTTATATTGTGCTGCCACAGGCCCAGAGCAACAGGGCCAAGTGAACATAGTCTGAAACCTCCAAAACTGTGAGCCAAATAACACCCACTCCCCGATATGAGGATAGAACCCAGGGCCTCAACTGAGCTACATTCCCAACTTTTTTTTTTTTTTGAGAAAGGGTCCATCACTGGGGATGTAACTCAGCAGCACAGCTCCTGCCTGGCAAGCGCAAGGCCCTGAGTTTGATTCCCCGGTACAGAGAGAGAGACAGAGAGAGAGACAGAGAGGAAGGGTTTTGATAAATTTCTAAGGCTGGCCTTGAACTTATCTTTTTGCCTCAGCTTCTAAAATAGCTGGGATTATAGGCATGCTCCACCCCACTGGCCAATCTTTCTTCCTTAAAAGTTGATTACCTTAGGTATTTAGTCACAGTGACAAAAAGCTAACACATGTAGCCTTTGGTGTCTGGCCTATTTAATTTGATATAATATTGTCAAGGTTCAACTATTTGAAGCATGTGACCATGTGTCAGTATTAGGAACTGACTCTTCTTGACTCTGCAAAACCTTTAATTTCCCTCCCAAAGTTGAGATCCTCTGCCTTTCTAGAAAGACATTTCTTCTTTGGTTAATTAAGAGGAAGAACAATACTGCTGTAGTGTGCTGGTCCTTACCACACTATTTTTGCCACCAGGCTCTTGGGACATCAGCGTTAGAGATTTCTTAATGCTCATTCATTTATTCACTTAATGGATACCTACTTGAGTTCCTGGTCTGCCTCAATCCTGTATGAGTGTTTATAATATGATAGAAAGAAACAAATCTATAAATAAATGTGCAGTAAGGTATTCACAGCTTCTAAGATAGATGTATTATGGGGATCATGGGAACACAAGAGTGCGGAGTTCACATATAACGGAAAAGATGAGAAAAATCTCCAGAAGAAGTAACTTTCTTAATTTGACAGAAAATTAATTGTTATCTGGGCTAGAACGAGGATCAAGTAAGGATCATGGGAGTCAGAGCATGGCTTAGACTTGGGCATTGTGAAATTGCAAGTGAGCTGGTAGGGAGAGAAGAAAAGTACTATGAAAGAGCAGACTGGCAAGCTATAGAGAAAACCATGGGCCAGACAAGACACAAGTCTTGATAGGGAATGTTGTTTTATCCTCAGGATAATCAAAACTCATGGAAGGTTTAAATAGAGGTAACATGGTCAAATGCATGTTTTAACAATCTATCTAGTGGCACATGAGGAGGGATATGTGACTAGAGGTAAAAAGCCAGTTAAGACTCTTGTCTTATACCAGGTAAGAGGTAATATAGTAATGGTGGTGCTTGAGCTGGGTCATGCTAGCTCTGAAAGCTAATTTAAAAAATTTAAGGAACTTTGCAAGCTGGTTGTTACACACAGTAATTGTTTAAAATTAAGTTATATAAACTTAAAGGGAAATTAATTACTTTTTCAAGTGGTAATAAATACTCAAAATTCATCACTTCCTAAATGCTATACTATTATCTTTCCTCTTAAGAAAATTTATGTCTATTGTATCTGTATGGTGGAAGTATTACATAATGATGTGCTATGGCACACCTCTTCCCAACAATGTGTTCAACAATATCATATTGGTAGCTTGAAATCAACCATTGTGGGAATACTTATACTATGGAAATTAGAAGATGCTTTACACTGGGCATCCCCCCCACCAAAACCAGTTATTGAACATTTACCAGCATGCCATTGGATATGGTCACCACGGCCTGCAGAAATACCTTCAGAGAGATAGAAAGTAGCAGAATCTTGCCATTTTTCTGGGCAGATAGTTAATGTGCCAGTTTTTTTTTTAATTCCCTACTTTCATTAACCTTCCTCCACAGAGATTTTGTACTCTTCTAAAGTCCATCAAGGACCTAATGGTGAGAGCAAGTATTCCTTCAGTTCCCAAGGACTCTGCTGATTCTGCTCGGCCTTGAGTGTAGCACCAAATTATTTTGCTGGTCAGTAATTTACAACCAGGGAGCGTGATATGGTAAAAATCTCCTATCTTCAACCCACCCCTTCAAAATTTTGATTGGCTATATCTGGGGATTCTTGGGAAGGTATAGCAATGGCCATAAGGACATAATAACCATAGTTTCCTATTACAAATACAATATTAATTTATAGTGGAGAAGAATGGAATAAAGAGGGTGAAGACCAGCTGAGCAACTGTAGCAGCCATTGTGGAAAGAGATAATGATAACTGAACCAGAAAAATGGCAATGGGGGATGGACCCAAGAGATATGGCTGAGGTACAATCAAAAATATACAATGACTAGTTGAGCATGGACAAGAAGGAGTCACTGGGTGGCTGACAGAACCACTTATTGAAACAGAGAAATCAGAGGAGGAACAGATTTTTAAGGGGACTAGGTTTGGGCTCATTGACTTTGAGGTACCTTTGGACATCCAGGTGGTAAAGCCTGTTAGACAATTGGACCGAACAGAAAGGCACTCAAAATGAAAAGGGCTCTGCATATATATAGGTTATATAATTAGGTGTCTTCAGCTGAGAGACGGTCATTGAAACCTTGGGCAAAAATGAGCTCATTGAGGGACAGTGTGTTTAAGAGGCAAACCAAGGAGCTAGCAGCACAGGATTGAGGAGAAAGATCAACTACTATGATAGTATAATAGAAGAAGTAAGAGAAACGTGGGAGTAGTGACTTTGAGAAAAGAGTGTGGGAGACAGGATCAATTATAGTGTCAGATAACACCAAGAGAAAAGTCAAATGAAATCCAGTGGATGCATAGGCAGCCAGGAGGTCTGCAGAGCCCATCTTTATTGTAGTCTGAGTAAAGTGGTGAGAGCAGAAGCCAGGGTGCTCTGATATAAGGAGGAAGTGGGAGATGAGAATATGGAGAAACAGGTGGAAAGTCTTCTTTCGAGGGTCACACTAGAGAAGGACCCAGACAAGGGGAGATTTGGGATTTTTAATGATAGGAAACATTTGTACATCTTTGTGGTTGTGGGGAAGTAGAGAAGAGGTTGTAAAGACAGGAAGGACCGGGAATTATCAATCAAATGACCTACCAAGGTCAACAGGAGGTGACTAGGATTGGCAGAATTTCTCAAAATTTTCATGTACATACAAATCACCTGAGGTTCTTGTTAAAAATCCAGGTTTGGGCCCTGGGATTTAGCTCAGTGGTTCCGCTGCCTGCCTTGCAAGCTCAAGAACCTGAGTTCGATCCCAGGTACCAAAAAAAAAAAAAAAAATCCAGGTTTTGATCCAGTAGGTCTAGGCCAAGCCCTAAGATTTTCCATTCCAACAATCTCCAGATGCTCTTAGTATCCCCTGAACCACACTGTGGGGAACAAGGCTGGAGAGTTCTGAATTGCAATTGTGTGTTCTTTTGTCTGTCTCTCTTCCTGGACCCTGAAACAAGATCCTTCCTGATAATCCCTACTGTCTAACACAGTATCTACCATTTAAAAGTTTGTTAAATGCAATGAATATATGAAGATGCTTACCAGGTATCATCTATAACTATGAAGGAGAGGGGCAGGACCTGAAAGTACAATAACACAAGAATAGGTGAGAAAATTATAATACAAGTATACTCTGGACTATTCTTAAGTAGTTAAAGCAGTCATTATGAAGTTTACACGATAATAAGAGGAAATCGCTATGATAAAAATTTCAAAAGCATGTGACTTTTGCTTATATGATGCTATCCACTGTGCCATGTTATGCATTTGAACAAGAACTAACATGGAACAAAAAAAAATTAAGTTTATTTGATTTGTTGAGGATTACAATATGGGTGAGTTTTTATCCTTAGATTTTTGATGACATTACAAAGATTCAGACAAAAATAGTGCTGTTGCACATATGAAGGAAGGGTAATTAAACATGGAATTTCCAACTGTAGAAAATAAAATAGAAGTAAATAACTTCCGTATGGTGGATTAGATTTGGGATTTTATGTATTGTTCAAAAATATATACATTCACTTTTCTTTAGATAGTCACTCTTTTATTCTGATCTTACAGTCTGTCTCTTTTATCACTTCTTTCTTCTTTTCCTTTCTTTTCTTATGCTTTCCCTCCCTCTTTTAAGACATGTCTCCCTTAAGGAATTCCCATTCCCAGTGATATCTCATCAAAGGAGCACATGAATAGCTGACATTATGTAATGCTTTGACATTTGGCATTCCCAAGGCATTACCCCACCCCTGATGCAGAATAAGTTGTCAGAGCATGAAATTGCTATTTTTACATATTCTTAATGTACAGATGTCAGTCTAAAAACCATTCACCAGTATTATGATTACATTCTTTGTCTCATTTTCTTTCTGTGCCAAGATCTGTTCTTGCAATTTCTTTTCTTTTGGGAGTTCCAAAGAGGGAAGACAAAACTTTAATAATGCAGTTTGCTGATTCTGTCAAAAGGTAAAAGAAAACTTTTAAGTCTCTGACCATTTGTGGCAATGATACTTTTGGCAAAGGACAAAAGATGTTACCAAGATGGACCAGATGCAAGCTGGAAATGCAATCAGTGGCCCACTTGATGGTGCCAGTTTCCTCAGAATTTTCCAAATGAAATTCTTGCAGTTTACACATTTGTTATTCTTTGCCAATAACTGAATAGCCTAGAATTATGGGAGCAAAAGCAGGTCTAAAACAGAGTCACATTGTAGAAAATACACAAGGTAAGAACCAAAAGGGATTTAGAGACACTCTGGTTCAAGGCCTCTTTACAGGATCCCCAACATATGGGCATTCAGTCTTTTGTGAACACCTCCAGTGATGGACATCTCACTACCTCATGAAATGATCTGTTTTATATTTGGGAAGTTGGCAAATACTGCCCAAGATTCTTTCTTCCTTCTAATAATAGCATCAACTCCCTCTAGGGGAACTACTACTTCATTCCATGTGGTTCTTCATTCCATGACAGGGCAGCAGGTCACAGGAATGTTCAGCCTCCATGGCCACAGGGGTGGTGTGCTGGTCCCTGGCCTGTTTGCCCTCATATGCATTATTTGCTTCTACTCCACCCCTTTCTATATTGCAAAGGATGAGTGGGGGCTGACTCTCTCAGGCTCTAAGTCCCAGGCTCCTTATCTGCTGGATTTGGGAGGTGTGCCCTATGGAATGCATTGGCAGGAGATGGGATGGTGAGAAAAAGGAGAAATCAAAGTATTTCTCCTCCTCTTTTGTCACCGAAGCTACGTATCTTCCATGGCTCAGTTCCAGCTCCCCCCAGACATAACCATCATGGTTCAAATTTCCACTAGGTGACTCCACTAACACCACCTTCTCCCTTTCTCCAACCTAGGGTTAGCAGGGGCTTCCAGCTGTTGGTGATATCTGGGTTGCTTCACTACTCTCCCCTAGGCTTCTGAAGCTCTTTTAACACTTGTGCTAACCCCCCAAAATTGTTTCTGTCAAATATGATAGAGTAGTTTCTATTTCCTGGGTCACACAATGCAGTTCAGCATGTGACCCACACCTAAAAATCACAGTGCCTGATTCTGAGCACAGAATTGGCTCAGGAATGAGCCTATGGCCCAAGATAGACCTATCAGAGTCCTTCTCTGGGGCTATCTACACTCTTTCAGATTGGGGGTCACTTCTTAGTGTGGCTAGGGTAAGATGCAGCCATGCCTACAATGTCTATCTGCAGAATGAGAGATTGAAACTAACACAGAGAAAACTGGCAAGGGGATTGTGAGACACCCAATGACATCTTTTAAATTCTTAGCCCCTGAGGTTCTATACTGAACTATTCAGGTACATGCACCAATGGAGTCTTTCTTTTTTTCTTCATTAAGCTTCCTTGTTTTGGGGTTTTGTCACTTGCAATACAAAAATAAGCCTGAATAACAGAGACAGATTTAGTTAGTAGAAAAATATTCCCTTGAGACAACACAAATTTGCTTCTCTGTAACATCTTCACAGTTAGCCTGATCCTCAGCTCAGGGCTCCACAATATTCTCAGCCCTCCCACCCTGTGCAGCCCTTCCCACCTCTAGCAGGGATCTAGGCCACCGAGTTTACCTTCTTTCTTCCCTGCCCTACAGTCCAAAGTCTCTACAGCTTCCTTTGCTTCCTTCAGGATCTCTTCAGAATGCTTTGCTGATTCATCCTTAACTCTCTCCTCCAAGATGTGGGTGGGGATGGCAAAAGCATCTGGTCCCATGAACTAGGCAGAAGCATTCCTGACCTTCCCTGTCGCAGAGGGCCTTTTTTTTTTTTAGAGGGCCTTTTTATAGCCCTTAAGTTGTTGAAGGCAACCTTTGAATTTCCCTCACTTTCCTGTTCCTCTCTGGGTCTTACAACCCTATGGCCTTCAATTACCCCTCACATTTTGAGGTCTCTGGTCCTAGCCAGCCTGAGCTTTCCATGGTTTATGATCACCAGAGATACTCTGTCTTTAAGAGATGAGTGCTAGAGCACTTTCCTAGCATGTGTGAGCCCTCGGTTTGATCCCTAGCTCTGGGAGGGTGGGGATCCAAGATGGAGGATAGAGCATCTGCACTATTCTTTGACGATGGTAGCCCCCAGGTGACCACAAATCTACTAAAACATGAGCATTTTTATTTTAATCTTCTTAACACAATCTGAAAAATAGGTGGTATAATTTCCATTTTTCAGATGGGAAAACTGAGACTTGGAGAAGTTAAGCAACTTGTTCCAGTTCACATAGCCAGTAAAGGATGAAGCTGAAATTCACATCTCTGAAGAGCTGTCCTCCACCCCTCTCTGTTCTCTACTACTGGCTATGTTTTTACACTTGATCTTAGCCAAAAGGCCAAGAAGCAATACTACCTATGTTTTTGAAAACCAGAGAGAGAGAGAGAGAGGCAGAGAGAGAGAGAGGGAATATTCTTCCTCTTACAGAAGCTTTGATTTGTCCTTTTGGTTATAGAGTGCAAGAGTTAAGTGTAGGATGATTGAGGTATTCAAGTGGATATGGGTATCAGATTCCTGCCAAAAGAAGGGCTTCAAAAATAGACCAGTCAGGCAAAATGGTGCATCCCTGTAATCCCAGCTACTCACTTGAGAGGCTGAGGCAGGAGATTTCAAATCTGAGACCAACGTGGGCAACTTAGTGAGAGCTTGTCTCAAAATAAATAAAGGATTGGAGATATAGGTCAGTGGTAGTATACTTACCTAGCATGTGTAAAATACTGTTTTCAATCCCAGTACCACAAAAACAAATAAATAAAAAGCCAAAAATATTTATCAAGTACTTAGTATCTGCCCAGTTGGGCAAAACCAGTCTGCCCTCAAGGACAACAAACAATTGAGCAAGTTAATTCATCAGTTATAAATTATCTTGACTCCTATGAAGGAAGCTGTGGTTCACAATAACTGGCATGAGGGTAAACTCTTCCAGGTAAGATCAAAGAATGTCTGTCTGAGGAGATGGCATTTAATTGGAGAAGGAGTTAGGGAGGGCTGGGGATTTAGCTCAGTGGTGCTGTGCCTGCCTCGAAAGTGCAAGGTCCTGTGGAGAAGGAGTTAGGGAAGGATATTAAAAAGTCAGAGGGAAGAACATTCCAGGCAGAAAGAATAACATGAACTAAGGTTCTGAGCTAATATTATTCCTATCATTTATTTAATATTTACTATGTGCCTGAAACTATTCTAAACACATTACATGTATTATCTCATGTATTCTTTACAATAGCCCCAGGAGACAGGCGATATAGTTATCTCCATTTGGGAAAGGAAGTCAGACTTGCATAAGTAACTTGCCCAAAGATGAACAGCTTGAAAGTGTTGAATCTGACACAGGATTCAAACCCAGCGGTATAACTCCAGAGTCTACATGCTTTTTTGTTATGCTAACAAAGTTGGGCTAAAAACCAAGTCTCCTGAAATAAACTTATTTATTTATTTTTAGTTTTTTGAAACATGGTCTTTCTATGTAGTTCAGGCTGACCTTGAACTCATTATGTAGCCCAGGGTGGCCTCGAACTCATGGTGATCCTCCTCTCTCGTGCCTCCTGAGTGCTGGAATTACAGGTGTGCACCACTGTGCCCAACTCTGACTTTTATTTTAATTTTTACTCCATGAACATTTACACATGTCCTAACACTCCCAAGTTTCTTCTTCAGGAATCTGTTTATAAACAATGGTCAACCAAGGCCCTTTCTTTAACCAAGAGTTGTTAAAATTGGGACACGTGGAGGGAATTGGTGTTAATAACCCACTCTAAAGGGCTGTTAAGGTTTGGATATGAAATATCCCCAAAAGGCTCGTGTGTTTAAGGCCTGGTCCCCAGTGCAACAATATTCAGAGGTAGGGCTTTGAAATGTGAAGGCTCTGATCTCATTAATGGATTAATCTGTTGATGGGTTCATAACTGAATAGTGGTACTCCCTATTGGAAGATGGTGGAGACTGTAGGAAGTGGGGCCTAGTTGGAGGAAACAGTCACTGTGGGTATGTCCTGGAAGAGTATATCTTGTCTCTGGTATCTCTCTCTCCCCCTCTCCTTCTCCCCCATCTTCCTTTCCCTCCCTCTCTCTCCCTCCCTCCTTGTCCACCAAGAGCTGGACCACTTTGCTCCATCACATGCGCCCCTGCCGTGATGTCCTGCCTCACCACAGGCCCCAAAGCAATGTTCTCAAGTGGCCATGATTGAAACCTCTGAAACTGAGCCAAAATAAATCTTTTCTCATTTAATTTGGTTTTTCTCAAAATATTTTGCTACAGAGACAAAAAACTAATACAGTATCTCTGTCACCCAGGCTAGGATTCTGGCTTCAGTCTTCATGTGGCAAAATCCTTGGTGTGCCCCCAGTGTAGTCAGCTTAAGGAAAACTGTTGGAAGATTGGCAAGGTAGAAAATGATGGCTTGTTCAGGCCTATATGGGATCTCAGCTGAAAGTCCAAAATTATGGTAGTTGAAAGTCTGATTTATGGTTAGAGTCCAAACTATCCCCAGAGTGGCAGGTAATGGCCATGGTAGTGATGAAAACTGGCTAGAAGAGGCAGACCTCCACAAGAAGGTACACGATCTAATACTGGCAAGTTGTCAGGAACTCAGGGTTAATGGGAAGTGGTGGCACATGCCTGTAATCCCAGCACCCTAGGAAACTGAGGTAGGAAGATCACAAGTTTGAGCCCAGCTTGGGAAACGTAGCAACTTAGTGAGACCCTGACTCAAAATTTAAAGATTACAAAGGCTAGGGATGCAGCTCACTGTGAAGGCTCTGGGTTCAATCTTCAGTACTGCAAAAACAAAACAGAACAAAAGCTCAGGTTATGTGAAAGCCATAATGCCTCTTCCTTGCCTTTGACAATTTCATTCATTCATGCATTTAATTACTGAGTACTTTTTTCATGTGGTTGTTTATTCATTCATTCAATGAGCTTTACTCTTTGTTTTCCATTTGACAGTTCTTGTACTAGACAATGAGCATACAAAGACAAAAAATGGTCCCTATTCTAGAGGAGCTCACAGTCTAGTAGGGTTGAAGGTCAGAGAATTCCTGGGGAAGGTGGTACTGAACAGAGTCCTTCTGGAAGAAGTAGAGAGGGAAGAGCAATGTGAACAAAGGGGAAATCAATTGCAAATGTACACTGATTCAAGGGAGCCTGGCTCGTTTAAATGAGAAGCTTGCTCATATGTCCAAAGCCAAAAGAAAAAAAAAAGTGATAGCACATCTTTGTTCCCAGGCAATCGTAATGTAATCCATGAGGAAGTGGAAAGGACACAGGCCTGGAGATCAGGATATATAGTTCCAACCTGAGCTCGGTCACTGATTCAATAGGTGACCTTGGGCACGTCCCTTCTGCTCTCCAGACTTCAGTCTGGCCCTCTGTAAAATGACGGGGAGGATTATGATGATGTCTTAGGGGCTCTCTTCCAGCTCTATCATTCTGTGATTCTAAATCCCTTTATAACAAACTCTAGGAGAGGAGCTTTGCTCTTGCAAATGGAGTGTAAAGTTAATCCTGCCTGTGCTGAGGCTAACTAATGTGTGCGTGTGGTTTATCCTACTTCATTAAACTCGACTCCCCACAGAGCAATGCATCAGGCAGCCCAGGCAGGTAATACTGAAGTGTTGCTGAACTGGGTCTCCTAATGGAAAATGATTTCCCTCCAGTCTTTCTCAGGTTTATCAACACAAAGCCTATAACCTCTATTTTCCACACTATTACCTTGCCACAGGTGCAGATCCAGACCAAGCAGAGGTATGGCAAGTTGGTTCCTGATTCCTTATTTATCAGCACCACCTTATCCTCATGCTCAGTTGTGCCACAGCCTATGTCACTATGATACATATGAAAAAACTGAAGCCCAGACAGGTCATGTACTTGGAGGTGCCGCACAGCCTTGTGTGCTATATGAAGTGACAGTGATGCTACTATTCACTAAATGCTCACTAAGGGGTGGGAAAAAGGGAAGGTAACTGGGAAGCTCTTAGACAATGTCCCCAGGTAAGAAAATTCCCCAAGGGTCTTACCTTTGGTAAAAATTCCTGCGGGATCCCAAGACATTTTTCCTAAGAGTGAAAGAGAGCACTCCTTCTAGGGTGTTTCTTGAACACAAGATTAAACAGAAACTCTCTTGGACTCCTTCAATTTTTTTTCTTTCTTCTGAAGTATACTGCAGATACTGAAAAAATGCATATAGTACATGTATATAGTTGAATTAATAGTTAAAAGCCAATGTTGGTATGACACTAGTCGGGTAACAGAATCCAATATCAGGTAAAAGAAGCAAAACACAATGCTTCCAGTATGATGCCATTTTTCAGAAGTTAGAAAAACTGAAGAGCTTAATCACTGGCTAAAGTGGCCCAGCTCTTTGCTTGCTCCTATTCAGTGTGCAGACCTGGCCAACTTTTCTCTTCTTTTGCCTCACCCAGGACAGAATCTACTGTGGACCAAGAGGCACAAAGCCATTAAATATTAGAGCTGGAAGCAACCTTATGTGACTTTTATTCATTCACTCATTTCTTCATTTCTCAGACACTTACTATATGGGGGGGGGGTCTCTGGGCTAGAAATGTGGGGATAAGGAATGAGGCTATTTTTTATTGGTCCTTTTTTGAAGGAACAGGAAAAGCTGGAATGTGTTGAGTCCTAAATAGAGGAGAGAAGGTTTGGTAAGTGCCTGGCTCTCAGCCAGGACATGCCCTCATGCCCTCTGGAAAAGAGCTGAAATGGATCAGACACATGACAACATGGGGAGCAGAAGAGACTTGTGGAGCCTCCGGAAAAATGATGAAGCCACAGTAGATGAACACAACTAGCTTTCATGACCAGGCTCTTACTCAATAGTTAACTGGAGGGTATGTACAAATGGGTAACTCCCAAAGGGATCAGAAATTAGACCCCAGAATGTGAGAGAGTATGGGCCTTCTGAAATTGCCCAGTTCAATGCTCTTATTTTATGAATGAAGTGACTGAGGTCTAGAGTAAAGTGACTTTTTCCAGTGTTATCTGGATAGCTTTAGGGGAACCTGTGCATAGTTCCCTTCCTCCACCCCAACATATGTAACAGTATTTTCTAAGATGAGCATTTAGAAACATGTATTTTATAGTCATGATAAAAAAAGAATATAAGAGCTGGAAAAGATCTTAGTGATAATCTGTCTAGTCCAGTAAGCCTCAAACTTATCTGGTCACAAATCACCTGACAAATTTGTCTTTAAAAATACAGATTCTGGGATTCCCAGATCCCACACATTGGGTTATGGAGTCTAGCAGGATTGGAATTTAGTAGGACAGCTTTTTCTTTTTTCCTTTCAATACTGGGGATTGAACTCAGGACCATTGCACTGAACTACATTCCCAGCTTTATTTATTTATTTTTAATTTTGAGATAGGAGCTTGCTAAGTCACTAAATTGCCCAGGTTGAATTCAAATTTGTGATCCTACAGCCTCAGTTTCCCAGTGTTCTGGGACTATAGCTGTGTGTCAACACTCCCAGCTTGTGTGTATTTTTTAAGGCCTCCACTACTTCCATTCCCAGCTGATTCTGATGATTAGCAGGCAGGACACTCATAGTCCTAGACAACACTGTCCAGGTGACACAGAAAGAAACTGAGGCTCAGAGTACGGGAAGTACCGAGGCCGAGCAAGGTCATATCTATTTCTACTACAAACTCTTTTGTTGTCCAGCACAGAACTAAGCCAAGCTGCATATCTAAGAGCCTTAATATATTAATAGTTTTTTCCCAACATTGTTTTTGTGGTTAACATGTTTCATTTTCTGAAGCAGCTTAAAAGATTCGCAGCCATGCTGCAAGGCACTCAGATTTGTGCAGTGTTTACAATGACTTTGTTGTTCATTAAACAAATTTACTCAGACTAACCCAACATGAAAGAAATCATCTTGTTTACAGTGAGATCCTGACAAAAATACGTGTATCAAAGACAGACAAACACACATAAACCTGGATTGCCGGGTGGGACATGATTTGCTGCCACATCCAATTTTTCTCATTAGAATTTGTTTTATTTGAACATGACTCAGTACCCCGTGTAAATGTGAGGTTGTTAATCTTATTACTATATGGAAAACAAATTAATTAGTATGCATGCTATTGGAGATGAGTTGTTAGGTTGGTGTTGGAAAGATTAGGAAAATACACTCATTACTCCAAATGATATCTGATATACACGTCTGACTTCCACTTTAAGATTGGTTCCAATATATGGGCAACAAATATAGCTCATAAAAATGAAGCTTTTGTGCTCAGCATATGAATGTTGGTGTTGGCCAGAGTCACATATACTGGCTTTCTTTGCTTTAAAACAAAGGTCAGTGTGATGAACAATTGCTTGTCATTAGTCATCAGCCAGAGACTCACCTACAGTGTCACCTTCTCACATTCCAGCTCCCAGCCAACACTCAAACCCAGCTGAGAATGATCTCTTTCTTCTGCCTGACCACCACACTTTATATGCACACACCTCCCTCCCCAGCACTCCCTACCTTCATTTAGTGCTCACAATGAAGGTACCTCATTTTTCTAAGGGAGTCTGTTCTCCTTAAAGTAAAGACTTTATATTCCAATTAGAGATTTAAATCTATCATGCTGCAGGAAGAAAGCATGAGAAATGAAGAAGCTCTTTATGTACCAATGTAGAATGATCACCATACTGTAAAGTATACACATATGGTCTATCTCTGTAGGTCTACTGGTTGCTAGGGAAGTATATTAGGTGGATGAAGGACAGATGTATGAAGGGACTTTCCTTCAAATTCCTTTTATCTTTTGAATTTGAGCCATGTGCAGGTACTCTGTAGCAATACAAATAAAAATAAAATGTAGTAAAAAGGAAATAATTACTCAAAGAAAAACACCAAATACAACAAATATCATTTGGAGTAGTGGTAGTCCTTTAATAAATAAACCTGCTTCACTTTTGCACTAAGTCTTTTTTGCAACAGCCTTTTTTTGTTATTGCTGTTTAGAGAAAGGGTTTCACTAAGTTGTTAAGGCTGGGGTCAGATTTGTGATCTTCCTGTCTCAGCCTCCCACAGTGCTGGGATTACAGACCCATTTCACTTTAATTTTGTGTTATCCATACTTATTTGGCTAGGGAGCTCCAAAAGAAATATCAGGTATCCAGTGTTTCTCAAATGATTTGACCCTGATATTCTTTTTTATAATATTAATATTTCATAAAAGACAAGGGACCTATTCTAGGTTGTAGTCAACATTTCAAGCCAGTGGGTGGATTCTGACTCTGCTGCCAACTCTGTGAATGAATCTGAGCAAATCCTTTCTCTTCTCTGGGCCTCAGGGTCTCCATCTCCAAAATAAGTCCATTGTTTGAGGTGTCCTTCTACACTGAAGGTAAGAGATTCTCTGGCAAGAATATATCAAAGTTCTCCTCGAAAGTCAGTCCATTCTTTGGATAGCAACTAGAGACAAGAGGATTTCTTTTCCTTCTGGTTTTTGTTTTTTTGTGTTTTTTTTGGTACCAGGGATCGAACTTGGGACCTTGTGCTTGCAAGGCAGGCGTGGTGCCACTGAGCTAAATCCCCGGTGACAAGAGGATTTATGATGCTTGTTAAAAGAAGTTACAAAGCTGGATATAGTGGGGCATACCTGTAACCCCAGCACTCTGGGAGACTGAAGCAGAAATTTTGAGTCACACCTGGGGAATTTAGTGACGCTATCTCAAAACAAAAAAATAAAAAGTTCTGGGGATGTAGATCAGATATAGCTCAGTAAAAAGGCCCTGGGCTTAATAACCAGTACCCCCCTACACACACACATTACATGTATGCCTAATGTGGACATATTTTCCCAAAAACCAGAGGAATTGAGGTGTGGCTCAGTGGTAGAGTACATGGTTAGCATATGCAAGGCCCTGGTTTCAATCCCTATCATCAAAAACAGACAAAAAAAAACCAAAACCAAAAAAACCAAAACCGACAACCAACCCACCAAACAAACAAAAACCCTTCAAAAAACAAAATGCTGCAAGTGTGGTGACTCACCCCTGTAATCCCAGCACTTGAGAGGGTAAGGTAGGAGGATGGCCTTGAGTTCGAGACCAGCCTGGGATACATACTGAGTTCAAAGCCAGCCTGAACTACATAGAGAGACCCTGTCTCAAAACACAAACACACAACAAAAACAAAAACAAAATGCTCAGAGGATATTCTAGAAGTTTTTAAGAAACCAATGCAATCTCTGGTTTGCAATAGCTACTGCCAGTATTACCAAAGTCTCAGTGCTTCCACTTACTCACTGTGAAACCCTGGACAAAACCATGGGTTGAGACCTAGTTTTCTTAATTTTAAAGTAAGTATAATAATTGCTATCCTGCTTCCCCAAATTCCTGGTATAGGCATTTAACTTTTGACAAAAACAAGATAAAAGGGACCCTATGACAGGTTGTCCAATCATTTTAAAATATGAATTTAAAATGTGGCTTATAAAGTGTATTCTGTTGCTGATAGATTTCCTTTGGTTGTGGAAAGGATATGATGTAAAGCTATGGTACTCATCCATCACTAGAGACAAAATAAATTTATAAAAGTCTTTTGCAAAATGATTTGCTCACATATTTTAAGAATTATGCAGGAACTCAGACCCTTTGACCTCCAAATCTAGATCTGGGGATTTTGAGGAAATGACAAAAATAGGAGAAAATGATATATATGGAGATGTGTACTTTGGGATTATCTGTGATAGTGAAAAATTGGTCCTAAATATGCAATACCAAGGAATGATGTATCCACTTAAAATTATATATCCACTTAAGCAGTTATCAAAATAATTATTAAAACATTTATTTTTAAATGATAATTATGAAGACCAAGTTGCATTCTAATGATAAACTGTTACTGAAGAAAGCTGAATGCAAAGTGTAACTATGCTACTAAATCACCTATGTAAATTTTCCCTGCCTATAAGAAAGGACAGAAGATGAACACTAAGCTATTCATTTGTCAGGATGGTAGGATTATATATAATTTTCATCCCTTTTAATTTCTTTTATTGTTGAAACATAAACTAAATAAAAATCTGGGGAAAAAACTCACAGTGAATGCAACAGATAGGTACATTCTGTTGTATCCTTTGTAAATCCCTTCACTGAAGAAAGGGATTAAATGTGGCTTACCATAGCAAATCATAAAGTAAGACCCACATACTGCATTTCCTCTAGACCCTCCTACCCTTCTGAGAATAAATTAAAATATAAACACCAGACTTGAGTTTTTAAAATCCGGGATTATCTCATTATTCTATTTCAAACATAAAAAGAAAAAGAATGTCCCCTTTTTTTCTTTAGGATTAAAAGTTTCCCCAGCCAAGTTCCATATGTCTCTTTCTCCCTATTGGCAGGACATAGGTTGTCATATCTACTGCATGCATTTCTCAACCTGTTGACCCCACTCAGGTGTGTAGACCGTGATGAAGAGGATCAGGTCAAGCTGAAGAGACCCCAACAGTTCCTGCTTTGTGAAATGAACATGCTAATTTCTGCCCAGCTGCAACCTGGGCCTGGTGTCAGGCTCCCCCAAGATAAATAAATAGGAAGAAACAAATGCTTTGTGAATCCTCCAAAACAGTGTCGTTGGATTATTTTCCCTTAAGAATCTTGTGGGCTGGGGTGTGGCTCAGTGGTAGAGAGATTGCCTAGCATTCATAAAGCCCTGGGTTCCATTTTCAGCACCAGAAAAGAGGTCAGTGTGACATAAAGGAGGACATACATGAGTAGAAGCTTGGCTATGGTGTGGTTGGGGGACTGAGTTTTAGGGAATCTGTATAATGTTAGTGATTTATAGATTTGGCTATGAATTGAGAATTGGCTTTCAAATTCCACTTGTGCTGTCTCTTTACTGTGTGATCCTGGGCAACTCGTGGTGTCTCAAGCCTCTGTTAAGGCTTCAGCTATGAAACAGGGCCACTAACAAAACCTGCCACACACATTTGTTTTGAAGGTGGAATGTGATAATAGATGCAGTTTGAGAAATATCAGCTAAAAGAGAGAAGAAGAAGAAAAACCTGGGCGTGGTGGTACATACCTTTCTATTCCCAGCTACTGAGCTGAAAGGCTGAGGCAGGAGAATCGCTTGAGCCCAAGAGTTTCAAGCCAGTCTGGGCAACATGGCAAGACCCTATCTCAAAACAAAAAGAGAAAAAAAGGAAAATTAAAACATAGAAACAGAAAGAAGTGTCAGTTACTCTCATTAGTCCTGCCGCTTTCTCTAGCTTACTTTGGAAACCCTGGTAATTCCTAGGACTGTCTTAACATACACGAGCCAAGCGCATAGTTTCACAGTGTGATTATAGCAATGGCTTTTAAAAAAAATTTTATTTTCTCTTATTTTATTTTTGATGCTGGTGATTAAACCCAAGGCCTTGCATGTGCTAAGTATGTTCTCTACCACTGAGCAACACACCCAGCCCAACAATGTTCTTTTAAAGACAGATTTATGTGGGAATCTGTAGCCCATGAGGACATAATCATAAGATTGGGGTTCTAGAAATTTCCTGCACATTCCTCCCTTGCTTCACTCCTGAATGTGCTGCTTCCAGTGGACATTCCAAGATCACTCTCTCCCTTGGAGATAGAATTACTCACCCAAGGACACAGGGGAGACACTGAACTTCCCTCACACTGGCTGAACAGATATCTTCTGAGGAACCCTCACTGTGCCACCATGTTATTCTTTCCTGAGGGGAATGACCTCCAAAAGACAAAACTAGGACCAGTGGTCAGAAGCTATATGGAAGCTGATATGTGCTCAATGAAGGAAAGCAATTTCTGGTGGGTACCCCACAATGCAAGGGGCTAGTGAGCTCTCCATCTCTGAAGATTTTCAGCCTTTGGCTTCATTCCTGTTTACTGGGATACTGCAGAGAGGCCAGTCCAGAAACAGTTCATCCAATCTAATAAGGCCCACCACTCAAGTCCCTGTGCTTTCCAGACTATTATTATTACTTAATTAGTAATCCATTAATTGATAAGCTACTGGTTATACCATCTTGAGGCTCTGGCCTGTTCTAGTTTCTCTCTGAAGAGAATGCCTATTGGAAGATTCTTGGGGGTTAGTGAAGAAGCAGAAATAATGTGAGATGATTCATCTTCTTGAGCCTTCTTTTTCCCCAGAATGAAATTCTTTCCTCAGTTTACAGAATGTGTGCATGTACAGATGTGTATCTACACAGTAGAGGTCACCTCATTAATGCACTATTGACTGCCATTATGTCTTTTCATTTTCCCTCTAGGATCTGAGGTTTTCTTCCTTCTTTAGCTCTGCTCAGCTGTGTTTTAACCCAGAAACTCTACATCTGACGTTGTCTTTCCAGAATTTTAGCAGCAGTATCATGACAGATGTTGATGTTAACCTATGGCCCTCAGATGTGCTTGAATTGAATTTCTTTGCTTTCTGTCTTTCAGTACTAGAAAAGGATACTTTAAAATGAAGCACACAATTTTTCAACACATGAGTTCAGTTGGCCTTCTATACAAACCTTCACTTATAGCTCCTGTCAAATGCTAGGCCATCAGCTCCTCTACCAAAGGAAAAAATATATTTGTCAACCAAAAAAGATTTTCTTTAAACAGCCTTGAGAAGTCTAAGTTCATTGTAACAATACTTTGTGAACAAGTGGCTAGCTGTTATATATTTGATTCTCACACTAGTCTTGAGATGTAAATTGGGTAAGCAGCAATTATTTCCTCCATTATACAAGTTAGCAAACTTAGGAACAAAGAGGTGAAGTCATACTGATAAGATGTGGAAACAGGAGCTAGAAAGGACTAAAGAGGCACAGTTTAAGGGAAGATCCCCCTCCTCCCCCATGCACCTGGGATCAAACTCAGAACCTTGCGCTTGCCAGGCACACACGGCGCTGCTGAGCTACATCCCTGGCAGCTCAGGGAAGATTTGCCTTTTACCACATTTATTCTTTCATCTAAATCCCAAATAAACATCTTTTATATGCAGTTGTGTGCTGTTTCTGGGGTTGCCAAATGGATCAAACACTAAAGGCAAGAGGACAAGGAGCTGTGACGGTGTGCCAAAGGCATTAGCAGCAGTGTGAGCCCCAGAGATCTAATATGCTCACTCATAGAATAACTCTAGGGACAGTGCAGGCACAAAAGTCTACAAAAGCATACAGCAATATTCCTGCTCAGCCAGACAGTTCAGCCAGAGAGGCTCTACAAGAAAATCTTAGCTGGGCATGATAGCACATTCCTTTAATCCCACCCCTCTGAGAGGCTGAGGCAGGAGGATTGAAAGTTTGAACCCAGCCTGGGTAACTTAAGAGACTCAACAATACCCTGTCTAAAACAAACAAGCAAGAAATAAACAATGCTGGTGATATAGGATATAGGTCTGTGTAAGGACTCTGGGTTCAATTCCCCAGAACTGCAACAGAGACAAAGACTTGCAAAGCTACAAAGGAAGTTCAAACGATGCCATAGGTGCCACTTGGAGTTAGTGGGTAAGTGAACGAAACTTTGAGATTGCTGTAATGCAGTTCTTACTTTATCTTCTTGAGGGCTTTGTTTTCCTCAGCTGGTCCCCAGTCTCATCAATATGCAACTTTATCTTTCTGCCTTGTCAATTTCTACATAGGCCAAGCATTTTCTGCCTCCAAGCAATTGCTCATACTGAACACATGGTCTGTAGTATCCTTGTCCTCCTCTTTTCCAACTCAGACTTCTAGACCCAGATCAAACCCTGAAAATTAAGAACTCTTCATAAATTCTCCCAGGAGAAAGGAAAGACTCCTCCTTCGTTTCCCTGATTGCATTAAATGCCTGATTAAGTTCCACCTTATATTATAGACTTATTTCTCTGATCTGACTGCCAGCAACTTGAAGGCAGGAGACTCACATCTCCCTTTAGGAGTAAGCACTGGGCTCTTTTTTGCTGAATAGAATTGAATGAAATGTGGGAGAAAGGATATATCCATATCCAAAGATGTTTCTTTGGTATTTTTGAGGCAAATAGGGAATGGTTTGCCAATCTGACCGCTGGTACTTTGGGGATCTGGGGTCTGGATGCTGCCACTCTGACAAGTTCCAAGTTCTCAGTGTTTGGACAGTTGCAGAGCTGGTGAGGGGGATGGGGTTCAGTGTATCACAGTGGGTTAGTCTTTTGCCTTGAAGTTTCTAAGTCAGTGTGGATGGTCAGGTATTTCCTGCATCTGAACAAATGGGTAAGTTATTAAACATTCAAGTTCCAAGCTCTGTTCCATAGAACAAAGTCAAGCTCTTTAGGGCTGGGGCCAAGGGATCTGCATGATCTTACGTTGAAGTTTAAAAGTTTCTGTTACAAGGGAACAGAACAATTTTATTGGCTTTGCGGAGAAGAAGCTGGCACCTGTGGGAAGAGCCCTGGCCAAGGGAACTCACAAACTAAAAGGAATGATGAAGATGAAACACAAATACTTCACTTCCAACACCCAGAATAAGGGGAAGGGAGAGTTCAGGGCTGCAGGGCCAGTGGGGTGAGGAATAGCCACCAGCTGCAGCTCTGGGAGGGTCCCCCAGAGCCTAGGATTTAGTAAGGTGCATTAGAAACATTTCAAGCTGGGAGCTTTGTTTTGTTTGTTTTCCCAGGCTGGGGTTTTTGAGGAACTTTGTAAATTTCCCATGAGAAAAAGTAAAAATATAAATTAAGCTTCTTTATGTGTCTCTCCTGTTTCTAGGGCTTTTCCCTTACCTCCATTTACTCTACCTGGTAAGAGAAGGATGTAGCTGCTGCTCTGGTGATCTCAGACAAAGTGTGTTGGGGGCCCACCTAATCCATCTGCTTCCCTTTGCTCTACTCCCCAGACTCTGTGAATTTCTTCTGTTTGTGTATGAACACTCAGTAGCCTCATCTGCAAAATGGGATATTAATTCTGTCTTCTGTGTCTTTATTTATATAGCAAACTCCTACTCACCCTTTGCAGGTCACTCCCCCAAAGAGGTCTTCTGTACACCTCCTGTCCAGAGTTTGGCTTACCCAATTTGCTTGGTTCTCCCAATGCCTCTTCTTGCTTACTCTTACACCCATTCACACTCTTCTGGTCTGAGTAGTGCTATGTCTCCCCTCTGGACAGGACCTGGGTCTCAAGTGACATTATATCCTGGCTTCTGACATGGTGGTGTTTAACCCTTCCCAGGGTGGTTGTGAGGACCAAAGAATGTTGTGTGGAGGCTCTTACCATCTGCCTTGACTCTCGTGACAGTGGAGTGTTTCAAGCTAGTCCATTAAGCTGAAGGGGCAGTGAACCCCAATACATCAGGCTCCTCAACTGGGTTGGGAGAAAGAGTAGAAAGCTATCCACCTGGGGTGTATGGTAGGACTGAGAAGCTTGCTGTCACCCCAACCTCCCACCCCAGATCAGTTGGGAATCAGTCTTGACCTGCATAGCCAGAAGGGCATTCATTAGAGGCAAAGTTTTCCTTTGGATCTTGGAAGCTGCCATGTCTGGTACAAAGTAGGTACTTGGCCTTCACAGAGGGGCTCAGTGGAAATGGAGGAACCAAATGCTTACTTGCTAGCTAAATGGGCTTTGGTGAAAGGAGTCAGGTCAAAACCCAGCTCTGAGCTTAATTAAAAAGAGTGCTTAATCCCTCCCCCAACAAATGCAGATCGTCCACAAAGGAGAACAGGAACCCCAGTGGCCAGGAAAACCGAAGCCTTATAAACAAGCACTTCG